TCGGGCTTGTAATGATTGGAGGATTGACATGTCTAATATGTTTCAACCAATCAGAAGACACGCTAATTAACATATCAACTGAGACCCCGGAAACCATACACTTTCTTTGATAAACTTTAATATAGATCCCGAAAACTTTTTGTTGGAATTTCGCGGTCACATGACATTCGCGTTCACCCCTCGTTTACGCAATTTATATTTATTTTTCAAAAATTTGTCATCGGAATTGCAACAGACTGCAAGCAAGTCTAGGCGTAAATCACATATACCTCGATTGTTCGATAGTTATTTTAGTATGTATTACACGTGTAAATATTATTAGTTTAACCATAAAATAACATTTTGGAGTTTTATCTTAGGTTGTTGAACTAATCGTAGTTGACGAAGGTGTGACGTGGAATTCGAACCATCCAATGCATCTCCATGGTTACTCCTTCCGCGTGGTTGCCATTGAGAAACTTGGAGAAAGCACTAGTGTAGAAGAAGTGATGAGAATGGACGCTGAAGGCAAGTCTCGCATACTCAATAACGCTTTATCAGTGTTCTGTTTTTCGGGAATCTTTCGTTCGTTCATTCAATTGCTACTCGCATAAAAAAGATTCGGTTCTTATTGCATGTCAAGTAGAGTGAAATATAGCTGTAATAGTTTTCATCATGTACACTCACAGATCGGTACTTTGTAAATGAATAAAATTCAAACAAACAATAAATGCAATAAACATAGATTAATCTTTGATTTACTAAGTAATAATATCACCACTTAATTGATTCTCCATCTTAAATGTTACAGGTAGAATAAATCGTAAATTAGACCGCCCTGTCAGGAAAGATACGGTCACAGTTCCCGACGGGGGCTTCTCTGTTGTAAGATTCCACGCGGACAACCCTGGGTGGTGGTTTTTCCACTGTCATCTGGAGTTCCATCTCGAGGTAAATATATTCTTGAAAATAATATCTCTGGAAAATGTTACTCCTATGTTTAAAATAGCCAGAGGGATTCGGTATAGTTTACGATTCTACACCCAGTTTCGCCCAACGTGTGGTACACACGGGAGGGGGAAGGGGTCATACACACGCACGCATACAAACACACTTTGAGATAATGTTGGAATTAACTTCAATACTTTTAAAACTATAATTAGCCAAAGTTATCGAAGTTGTGCTACGAACCATTTTTCAATATCGTTTTGTGTAAACTGCTTTTCTGTTTTTGTTTTCATACAGATCGGTATGGCGGTCGTCTTTCACGTTGGTGATAAAGACGACCTACCTAATGTGCCAGCAGGATTCCCACGGTGTGGCAGTTTCCCCCAGACGTTCACTCCCCAACCAGTGCCGTGTTCCAACGTTCCAAACATGGAAACATCTTCTGCCACGAGGCTTCAACTGCCAATGAAGATCTTCTTTGTCTTCGCAGCTTGTATTATGATGAGTGTTCGTATATGAACATTTGAACAGCCGTCTGTACCACGCACAGTTTTACTTAATTCGATGATTGATTTATAATTAATTTGTTAATGATGACTTAATGTAACACAAATTATACACAAGGGTGTTGTTCTTGTCATTTCACACTACGTCTGACATTATTCGTTTTTTTGCAAAGTAGGACTATGTAATATGCATTGAATTACTGGAACTTACTTGCGATCAGTTGTGTAATTCATCTTTTCATCTTACAAAGCTAGGTTGTTCAACACACAGAAAATAAGTAGCTTTTTTAATTGCCACGATAAATACTAATGCTTCGTTTCTTATAAATTTCAGTTTGACAATATTTGGGTAACTGTGACAAAAACTGTTATTACATTTTGTTCGTGCTATCTCAACCACATATACAGTGAGTACAGAGAGTAACTAAAGATGTATTTTAATATCAATCAATGTACTACTTGATATTGTGGACATAACCAGAATTGTTGAGTATGTATATCTGTTATGATACAAGGGCAATATTGTCCCAGTCACCTCTTTGGTGACCAGAGATTTAGCACAATTTAGTTTTAATTAGTAATCAACAATAGTCACTCAGACCATGGATCGATGAAGACACACAAACAATAATTCTGCAATGGCAAATAAATCGCATTATTGACATTTGTCAAATAACACATTTTAAATATACACTATAGAAGAAGGCACGTTCCTTGAAGTTGTATTTCCAATATGTAGGGTATGTAGAAAACCTCTCACTGACTTTTAAGTGTCATAAGGCTTGAAAACGGTTAACGAGCAATATTTTTTTAGAAACCAAAATACACGCAAAATGCTTTGAATAAACAATGACAAGTATGTTTTATTGGTGATCCAGGCAGGCATCAGTGCTCTAAATACTTAATAATCTGTTACCAGCCATTTCAACTGATTTTACCATGGTGCCCACAATAAACAGTGGTAGGTGTTCTGCATATAATACAAAGTGGAAATGCAACGTTAGCATAGCATCTCAAACCAATGTGTAATCTGAATACATCACCATAAATCAAGCTAGTTATATTAATGTGTTATAACAATAGGTTTCAATAAACAACCGCTATTTTACTAGATTGATGTTTTCGAATCTCGAATGTTCTTCTTTTCTTTTGAAATGGATTGCTAAAAACATGTGTGCCGGTATTCTACATGCGTTACATTTGCCACAGTTGACTGTGACTTTGACCTTATTCTTCATTTCAAATATCGTCGTAATGTCGTATTTTTGAAACGCGTCGCCGTTTAATTGCACTGACTTGGAGGTTTCTTCCAACTCTTTGCCGCCTATCATCCATTGCTGACATAGATTTGCATCACTGGTTTCCTGGCAACCATCTGGAAAGTAGATTTCCACTTTTATCACCTTCACCTCTTTCATATTTGCCCTGGACACGTCGAAGAACGCTTCGAAATGATCGTCCTCATCGGAGTGCCCTGCAATTTAATGAGAGTAATAGTAAGAAGAATGCACCACATTAATATGATTATGGTGATCATATAGAATTCAACACATTTAGATAATTGCAGGGTGCAATTGTATTGCTTAAGATGATACAAGGACAATTCTTCTTATATCTATAATAATGGCATGTAGATGTTGGTAATTTAATTACATTTAGTTTAAAAAGTATGTCAACATTTTTTTTGTAAAGATCCTCCGAGCAAAAGACAGTTTCGATTTGTAGACTTGATTTGTGATTGTTTTGATTTTAGACTCTTAGACTCAAGGTCCGCAATGAATATTCAACAAAGTTTTTACATAAATTATTTATTTTATCCCAAAATCACGCACTAATTGGCGCATTGTAATTATATAACCGTCAGTTATTAACAAAATCTACACCGGTATACTAGTATTCTGTATTGACGCTGTGGGTGGAAAACTCCACTCAACAAGTTTAGAGCACAATTTCATTTTAATTGCGAATATTATGATTCGAAGAGTAGACAATATTATCATTCATCTTGAAATGTGCTGTTCAAAATATAATCTTACATTACATTACATTACAACTTCCCATATAACAAGTTCGGTTGACGTCAGTAAGGGCATATGGTCGTAAAACTCCTGCACAAACAGATCCGCACAGGTGGACAATTTTTCATGTAAATATGTAGATATTAGTTTCAGTTGTTCTTAGCATTTGGTCAGGGGGGGGGGGAGCGTAACCTCTTGTGGTGAGAACCAGTGTGACTGGCCTGCCAACGGGGTGCTAAGGATTTCATTGGAAAAGTTATCAGTTACTCCGTTAATGTAATTGTTTTACATACCCGTAAATCAAAAATCACATTACATTAAAAGTGGCTTTATTTGTATCAGTTGTGTTTTACGTCAATTATTTAGTAGCGGTCATTCATAAAAATGGGACTTTAAATTCACGATTTCCCCAGAATATATAATTAATGAGGCATAAATCTATGTTCTAACATATTCGATGGTCGATTGTACATAAATTGTACATATTGACAATACACGCACATTCTACACTAATACAATCACATACAGTAATTAATATAACATTACATTTATTACATAATCAACACCGAACCTAGAATACTATTTTAATATCACAATAAAACCAGGAGATCATTTATAACATTTCGAATATCAACTCACTTATAGTTTTCATCAGATTCACGATTTGTTTGACGTTTCAAAACACGTTTTGTTAATAAAATTTGTCTATTGTACAACAATTATTTTTTTTTACTTTTACTTATTAATATTAATCTTATAAATAATTTGGCGTTGCTTCTGAACTTACTTTTAAAGTGTACACTGAACGCTAGATTTTATTTCATTTTCTGCTATCTTGTATTTAAATATCAAACACCAGAAATCTGTTTTAAAATCCGATGACT